CTTATACACATCTTTATTTATTTAACTCTTTTTATTTGTAGAAACCTATTAAAGATATACATTATTTATGAAACTATGTAAATGTTACTTTATAAAACACTTTCATTGACATCAATATTTATAGAATGATTTATGTGCATAGTTTATTTATAGAACTCTGTCATAATTATAGAATATTTGTTACATAGCATATTTATATAGAACACTATCATTGTGGCCGGCTCTGGCAAAACCAGCCATTTGTAGGAAATATTTTAAATTGAGTTTTTGGTATATTTAGATTCTGCATGAATTATTAATTAAAGTAGTGTATATTTGATAGAAATTGGTGGAGTATTAACGAAGTTATGAATATTTAGGTTTTGAGAAAACAGCTTCCAAAGATTCAAAAATCATAGTTTATTATGAAGATTTGTAGTTTAAAAATAATTTTAATATACTTTTCATTTAGAGTTGGTGATTGATATTTTGCAGAAATGTTCTTCAATATATCTTCTTTTTTATAAAATGCAAAAACACGAAAATGTTCAAAATTCTGATTCTCAAACGTTTTGGGTGCTTGAGGGAAATTATAATTTGCGACAAACAGAGGGTTTTGCCAGAGCTGGTCATTAGTAATATAACAACAATATCTTGTCTTTCAAAAGGAAATCTCAATAATAAAACTTAACAAGATGTGTTACCTTAGTTCTATATGCTAATTCTTCTCTGACTTGAATTAGATCCCTTTCCAATCGATGCTGTTGTTCTTTGATCCGTTCAAGAGCCGCTGGATCATCCCAATGGCTCCGGCTTTGACGATGAAGGGATGCAAGAGCCTTCTCTATCTTATCCTAAACAAATAAAAACAAAAACTTTAATTAAAAAATAAGATAAAAGTACGGTTGAGATAAAGTATTTATATATATATTTTTTTTATATTTTTTATGTACATTTAGTTTTTTAGGTGTTATTCCCCTCTACCAAATTAAAGGGGGGGGGGGGTAACATAATTATTAGGCAAATGATTAACTACCAACAACTAATATGCTTTCCTTACATTAACTATGGTCCTATGGATGCCAATTAAGGAAGGCAGCCTACCTTGTCTTCTTTCAAGTCAGTTATATACACAGCAATATCTTGTAGCCTGGTATCCAAGAAATGCAGATGATTCAGTTTGTCTTCCAACTCCCGATCTTCAACCGTCTCTAGTTCTTCAAGTTCCTTCTCAAAATCCTTAGCCAATTGTTTCTCTTGCCAAGTTCTTGAGAACTCAATCAGTTTCTTTGGTGGCTTATAACTCAAACCCTTGTTTACTTTATCCTTCAAAATAATAAATTATGAAATTTAAAAACAAATAAATGACAATGGTTTTTATGCAGCACTACCAAAGTAACAGTAGTGAAGAAAGTAGTTGACTTTTGACATCTTTAAGTCTAGAGTATCAGTATATATTGATAGAGAATTTCAACAGTCACTGAAATTTGCTTTCTTTTGAGAACTATTATAATTGAGCCCTCATGAGGGTGAAGCTACGTGACTTCAACACGAGGGGATTTCGCCCAAATCAAGAACTATTACATGCGGCTTGCGAAAACATAATAATTTGTACTTTTAGAATCTAAACTCATTTCTTGAAGATACATAAGTATCAATATTAGTGTTAGTTAAAAAAGCATGTTTTTTGTAAGGTAAATATTTAAGTTGGCAATTTAGCCTGACCCTAGGCTAACTAAAAAAAATCGGCCAGCGGGGGTATAGTTTTATTCAAACTTCTAGTCGAAGAATACAAAATGACGAAATTCTTAAGTTTTACCTCAAACTACACCTAAAGTTCAGTTTTAAAAATTGGTTGAGACTTAATCTGAGAAAATTCTGAAATTAGTAGTGTTTGAAACTAAACTCCTGGCAACAAAATGCAAGCACCAAGTTTACCTCCAAACTCCCTCTACAGTAAAAGTAATTACAAAGGAAGCTTACCCTGTAGTACTGCTGTGCTAACATTTCATTCTGTCCTCCATAAAGACTGCCCATTCTGACAAGGTTGTCCACAAGGCTGACTAGAGGACCACTGATCTCCATCTCTTTCTCAACTTCATCTTTCTGCTGGTTCAATTCTAGCAAGTACATTTCTTCTTCCGTGAAATCTTTGCTTGGATTTTTTAAAGAATATCGTCTGCAAATGCAATCAAGATAACATTAGAAAAATACCTAAATAGGTAATAGATTTGTAGCTGAGGTGAAATCAATCCATGAGAAATCTATTATAATACATGATCATTGATTACTTTATTTCTTTTATCAATTACCTTCCTAAGGATTACATACAGTAATACAAGAGCATATTTATGGTCCTTATACTCAAGTGAAAGCATATTTTATGACAATTCAATGATCATTTATTCCATTTGTAATTTTTTATTCATTCTATAATTATTTTTGTTTTTGTCGTTTTCTTATACTTTAGTTATTTTTTTTCCCACTTTTTGACATAAATGCTGTTTAAAAAAATATATAAATTAAATGTTAAGTGATTTTAAAAAATAAATAAATTAAATGTTAAGTGAATTCACACATCACACTCATTCAAAAGAAATCGAGATTGAAGGGCATATAGATCGGATGTGGAGGTCAGCACCCAATCCAGCACCCAGCAGTTGTCTTCACAAAAATCAGAGATAAAGGAGCACTCCATTCAGATCCAAACATGCTCTTTACACAGATTGAAGATGGAGGAACACCACATTTGGGCAACAGATGTCTTCACAGAGGCTAGATGAACGAGCACACCATCCAGTTAAAACAGATCACACAAATCATAAGTGATGTTGTTGGTCTATGAGTGAGATACTTACTTCGAGAATAATGGAATAGTCTGACCCAGGCATATATAATGCAAAATTGAGGCCTTTTACATAACAGTGTTGCATTATGTACACCTGGGTCAGACTATTCCATTATTTTCAAGATAAGTTATTAAAAGAATAATGGCATGTATCGGTTCATCCAGGTAAGTATTCTCGAAATATATGTTTACATGGGTTGCAGATAGTGGAGTATACCTTCCAGAATATGGTTGTTTTGACTGATTTGATGATTCTTTTTATTTTCCCTGCATACATATATATCATGACTTGTATTAGTTAAAAGAAATTAAATTAAAATCAGTTACTACAGCACCTGGCTCTGGCTTTGGTTGGACTGTCAGCTGGAAGATCTGGATCTGTTAATTTAGTCATCTCAGTTTTAATCATCTCATTCATAGCGCGCAGGTTTGCTTGATCTCGTCTCAGTTGAATCAACAACAATACTAATTCTTCATGCTGGAAAATAAACACATACAAAAGAAAAATAAAATTGTATATTAAAAACTGTATAGCATTTTGTCAAGGAAATAATTTAGCAAAACCTTAGTGCCCCGGTATTTAAACACCCATCCCCCCCCCCTCCCGGACAAGCTCCAGCCCGCCAAAGATTTTGATCCAGTTCCCACAAGATTGCTAAAAAATAAATTATTTTTCCAGCTAATATTCTGCTACAGTAATAGAAACATGACTTGCTACTCTGGCACTGTTAACATTTCTGGATGTTTTCTGAGTGTAGCTAGCTATATCTTGTGGCATAGAGTATTGACATGGGAAGGGGAGACTTATGCTACTGCTTTCCCCTTATTTTTGCAAAACAAGGCCTATCATAGTTAATGTTGAAAAAACAAGGCTGGCCTATTAGGAAGGGTTGTAGTCCTATAAAAGAGAATGGATGGGTGAGCTGACATTAAAAAATTGGTACACAATTTATCTTGGTTCACCACTAATCTCATCAGATTGGAACTGGCCACCAGATTAAAAAGGTTAAATACCCAAGACCTTATTGGATGGAGGATCTAGTAGACAAGCAGGCAAAAATGGGCAGTTTCATTTCAGTGGGTTCAGCCAGATTATGTATCAGAATCTATATCACTTCTAACTCTGATGCTGATAAAATTTATCCAGATGCTGAAGTTCAAACTTACTGGTTTGCCAAGCAAATCATCAGCGGATATACTAAGTCTGACACGAGTACCAGTGTTTAGAATGATGTATGGTTGCAGCTTCTGTTGCCATTTACGAAAACGATCGGTTGTGCGTGGCTGAAACATATTAAAAACAAACACCAATTTAATCATTTGTAAATTTTTAACTATCTTTGAATACTTCATATTCCTAAAACAATAATTCATGATTTATCTACATTGTTTATAAATTTAGTTTATAAATATAAATAGTGTATGTGTGACTTTCATTAATGCCTACATATACAGTATGAAGTTCATTTGCAATTTTAAAATATGTTCATACAGTTGAACTAGCCTAAGTCGTATTCCAAAATGGCATTGAAAAAATGTTGAACTTCAATAAAATTTGACTTAAAGTTTGTTATTTAATAGAAAACACAACAATTTGGCATGTAAAATACGATCAACTTAAGAAATTATTCGAGTTAATAGGCAAAGTCGAGTTAGGCAAAGTCGAATTAGTCGACTTAAGTTTTACTGTATAAAAGAATAAGTAAATAAACGAAACATAAATTTACCATCTGATCATCCATAGAATTGGTAGGAAACTGGTCACGGCCCTCACTCTCAAATATCTCTTGTGTTGTACGCCTGGAAGGGCCACGACTAGGGAATGTATCTCCACTCCGTCTTTCTTTGTCTTCCATAGCTCGGATCATAGATTCTGGGCGGCGTTTAATAGAAGATGCCTGATAGTTTTGTCTGCTAGGTGAAATTTTGGTTTCTTCCTGAAGAACCTGCCTATCAGGTCGTCTTTGGCTGTGGGTACTAGGATACTGAATCTTACTTGAAGATTCGCTCCTAACAATAATTCAAAATTTCAGAAAAAAAAAAATAATTAACCATTCTCCTTGTTCAAATATAATAGAATAAAAAGTATCTATGTTTTTGTTTATTATTACTATAATACAATTTTATGTACATACCTAAGATCATCATCTGATTGCTGATAATCTATCGATCTCTGTCTTCTGACACTATCTTGTGGGACATAGTCTTTACGTCGATCGGTTGGCAGTCGACCACTACTAATGGACACTTCACGACTAGCTCTTCCATTACTTTGCCTTTCATTCCTAGGCCGGTTGTACTCTGTAACATGGCCATGAGGCACATATTCCCGGGAATCCAGGGAGTACCCACTCCTGTTCCTTCCCCTAGAAATTTCGCTAACTTGCGAGCCCTCACCATATGAATCGTAACCTGAAGATCTTTGCTTATGTGTATAACTGTCCCGAGGATCTCTGCTACCATTTTGTGACCTGTAGGAATTGTCCCTTGACCTAGGCCTCTCCTGGTAGTCACCAGTATGTGAGGAATGCCGAGGCAAGTCGCTTTCTCTTGCACTGTAAACATTATGAATGTTCTCTCTACTACGACTTTTCTGGTTTTTTTCATTTTCAATTGGTGGGCTGTCGAATAGCAACCGATTGCGACTGGGAGCGATGTCGGCCTCGGTGTAGCCAGTCCTGCTCCCTGGCCTACCTTGTGATGAAGAGTGTCTCTTGGAATCCAGAGTGCTGCTTCTAGACAGACCAGGGGCCATGTGTTGAGAACTGGCCTGCTTTGGTATAATACGTTCACTTCAAAAATACAAAAAATATTATTTTGTCTGCATATTAACACAATTTTAAAATACATGCCTAACTTCTTCGCTCTGTGGGGTGGGGCTTTAATAATAGGGTGATACCAAGTTGCATACTGCATGGAAACATCATCTAAAAGGACTCAAAAGCCATAAGGTTTCTAGACTAAAGGCCAAGGAAAATCAAAGTAAATAATAAATATGATGTTTATGCTCAACCTGATGTCTCACTGTACTGCATACTTGTACGTCTCTAAATACTTAGGGAAAATATTGTGCAAGTGATTGACCATCGGACAGAAAAATCATTCCTTCTTTGTTTTATGACACAAAACATTTTTAAAAGAGATAAATAATCACAAAATAACAGTTATGAATGTAGGTATACGTATATATACATTTACTCACTCATGAATTATATTGTCCTTATTGTGAGGGTCATGGGTGTTCTGAGAAGGCCATTGGGGGACACTATCCTCATATACCATTGGACTGTTGATGGTAGATCGCTGCTCTTGACCTAAACTAGGTGGACTGCTTGACTGCACCAATGGACTCTGCAAATATGAACGCTGCTCTGGGAACTCATCATCCTACAAACAAAAAGCAGAAAATAAGGGCTTAGATATAAATTTTTTTCCTGTACAGGCAATACATTTTGTAAAATCCTGAAAAGATGTAATTTGCTTTTTTCTTGTCAGCTTTGTTTTGATCTTCACATCGCAAACAAGTTCATAACAAAACACAAAATTTAACTGTGTGTAATGCAGCGATCATAAGCAGCTAATGCAAAAGCACAACTACAGTAATGTATACATCATATCATTTTGGCATGGCCACTACAACAAGAGGTTGATTACATTTTTAACAAATACATAAGGTGACTGACTTACAAAAGCAATTAGTATAATTGCTATTCATACACTACAGGAAATTATATTTACCTGTAGGTTAGATTAATGCATATTAAATTTTCTTTGGGCCTTCAAGGCCCTCAAGGAATTTTTCCATGCATTAATCTAACATTTGTATAATACATGCAGCTACATAAATTGCTTAATAGATAAATAATAATAATAATAATAATAATAATAATAATAATAATAATAATAATAATAATAATAATAATAATAATAATACCAGTGTTTGAATAGGAACATATGATGTCATAACAGAATGAAGCATAGCCCTTCAACATATCAAATTTACACTGTAGTGTTTACAAACCATTTTCTTTAGTTCAGTTTGTACAACTCTCAATGGTTGTGCATCATTCTCTGGTCTTGGAGGGTTATAGGTTACTGGACTGTTGATAGTTGACCTTTGTTCCTTTGGTAGAGGTGGATGCTGGTCCCAAGGACTCTGAAGAACTGACCTTTGTTCAGGTGAAATACCACCCTAAGGGGGCAAGATGGAAAATATTATTTACCACTAACCATTTATTTGAAAACAATTTTGTGAATTGTCTAATGGGGTAGATGCAGGATTTGTGGTAACGGGAATGTTGACTTGTAAAGCGCATACAGGAGGCATGTTGTGGCAAAATGGCTAAGTTGGCCTGAGTATGTGATCTTTAAAATGAGGGGTTATTCATTGAAATTGGACATTGCAAGCCTAAGTTATTGGAAAGTGAAAGTACAGCGCTCTTTGAGTCAAGATAAACATGATTTTGAGTAATGGCCTTTCAAAGTTAATTGTGCATACATTGTTTAATAGAATTAAACTAACTATTAAATAATGTTAAATAAACAATTTGTTGACCACTTTCAGAACAAATACTTTGGGACACGATTAACAACAAATTAAACTGCTGATCTATAGTGAAAAAACAAATTTGGATTTTAAGGCGATATTTTGAGCTCCCATATTTTATTTATTACTTCTTTTTTGTGAAATTTTGCAGGGATTGGGGCTTTACCTGTTTGAGAGTGATTCATTGATTGATTGATTGATTCACACAAAAAGCATTCTCTTCATCTTACCCTTTGAATATTGTAGTTATTATTGTTATGCTTGAAATCGAACTTCAGACTTTCGGGTCGTTTCCTTTGAATATGTCCTCCGTCCACATAATCCTTTCTAATTGGTGGGCTTGTGGCTCTTGATGAAGATCTACTCCCCTCGTCATGAGAAATGTCTCGCCTTTGACTGTCGTAACTCTGCAGTGAATGTGTTTCATCTCGTTTCTGAGAGTCGTAGCTCTGCTGCGAATCACTTTCATCTAGTCTCTGGCTTGCATAGCTAAGCTGGGAGCTGTTATCATTCCTTTTGTAATTGACTGGTAACTGAGCATTTGATGACGGCAGAGAATTTCGTGAAGAATACTGATTACTGTCTTGTATACGTGGCATCGTATTATTACGTGATTGTAGTGGCTCTTTCGAATAATTATGCTGAAGGGTTGCCGACTTTATATCTGAATCATACTTTTGGTAGCCATCAGAACGATGGTAGTCACCAGAATGACGGTGATCATCAGAATGACGATAGCCATCCGAAGGATGGTTTTCAGAATGATGAAAGTCATCAGAAAGATGGTCACCAGCACGACGGTAGTCATCAGAACGATGGTAGTCACCAGAGTGGTGTTTTTTATCTGGTGGATGATTCATTTGGGAGAAATTTGGATGCCTGTGATGAAGCTCTAGAGAGCTACGATTTGATTGTTCGTCACTGTACTGTAATGCTTGTTCTTGTCCAGGAGACATTAAATCCTGCGCTGATCTCCTGATGAAATAAAATAATTATTTAGCGATGTAAATTAAATGACATACAAAAATACAAATACTGTAAATACAGTACAGTATAGAGGAAAAATTACATAAACTAATACCTTCAAAAAGAATAAGTAGTTTATTAAGTGGTTTTCTATAACTGACAAAAACCAAATAATTTGGTTGGTTATCCAACAACAGATAATTCAACATTTTGATTTAAATGGCACCTCTAAGTAATTGTGCAACTGTCTTATTTTGTGTAATGAACAAGCCAGCACTAAACATATCAATCTATTCTACAATCCAATCAGTTATTCTCAGAACCAAAAAATATTAAATTGAGATTTGTAACATATATGCCACATACAGTAAGTAAGTAACTTTATTGCTTCTCTTGTATAACAGAGGCACAACGTAAAGATGTGCAACAATAACAAAATCAGTAAAAACTTAATTACTGTGATAAAATATAGTAAGAAAATACTGTGGTCGAACGAAATATATATAAAAAAGGGTTTACAAAAATAGTAGTGTACCAAAAGCGTAAATACAAACCTTATATAGACATACAACATAATTCTATATACATTATGGTGGTAGTGGTAGTGGTAGTAGTAGTAGTATAGTATAGTTTTTGATACCAAGGATAACATGTTTTGAAGACGAAACCAAAATAAATTGTGAACGACGCTGAGTAGAATCACTTTATTTTTACCTTTGAAATTCTTGATCATGAGGTCGTTCAAATACAGAATCTTCTCTCATTGTCAGAGGAACAGATGTGGATGCTGATTCTAAAACAAAACATTAAATGTTTACAGAAAATACATCTAGTAAAAACTGATTATTTGGGACTCTATAGTCGTACAAAGCTTGGGAGTAAAGGTTGTTTTAAATTTTTACATATTTTTGGCCATTGTGTGATATATTTATAATAAAATATTGCATAATAAGTTTTTCTGTAAATGCTGGACTTTAGTTACAGTTGATAAAACAAACACTGTTAAATAATATTTCATTGCTATTATTGATGTGAATAATTTCTGATAATGTATACAATAATCGTTAAAGGGGGGTAAATATTCTGTCAAGAGCGTTTATTTTTGGCTGATACATGCACTATACTAGATTTCATCATTAATATAACCTATTCTACCTAACCACAGCTTTGTTAAACATTTATAAAATGGTTTCTTGTAAAAGATAGAACCAATAAAAAATTGTCTTTGTAAAATATCTTTTGTAGAAGCAGTTGGTGCAACAATTTGTGGGAACTTTCATCTTTGGGAAAGATACTTTATCTACATTTGTATCTCTCAACCCAAAAGCATAAGCAGGTACTGTACCTGATAGTAATACTAAGCACTAATTCTAGCAGCTTTGGAAATGGCACACACCAAGCCACTAAGAATGTGTTGCCTAGGTATTTGGTCAGGTGATCGGGGGTAATCCTCAGAGCCAACGGCCAAACCATGCTTAGTTTAAGGAGTAGGATTAGTTAAGTGTCATTAAATTTGTATTCTTATTTATGCTGAGCGCATCAGAGGTCTCTATGATATGCGCTCTATAAGTCGACCATTATTATTATTATTCTTTTTATTATTATTATTATTATTATTATTATTATTATTATTATTATTAGTATTAATTATTGTAAAGTACAGAAAGGCAGTTTATTACAAAAAGCTCTAAATGGAATGTATTATTATTATTATTACTATTATTGGTATCATCAGGTATAGCTCTCAACAATTGTTGCTTCATGTAGTTAAAAGATGGTTTATATGTTTAATATATTTTTAAAAAAAAAGATAAACAATATAAGCTTTAAACATAAAATTTCCAACCACCCTGGATTTATTCCTTGCTTTAATGTTTCAACTGTCATAATTATTTTCCCTTTTTATTATTCATTGTCAACAGTTTGTCTCTTTATGAAGCTTCTTGTTAAACACTGGCATGTATACAGTTTATAATATTTTTGTCATCTGCCAAGCAATTATACAATTTTCTGTATTTTTATATGGACAAATAAAATTTCTTGAATTTAAATCGTCAATCTTCTAAATCTACCATGCTGAATTTTTAATTTATGTGAATAATGTATGAATACAAAAGTGCATTTGCAAAAAGTACAGGTTGATAAAAACATTTTTGTTTCAAGCATACAGAGTTTGATAATGTCAAGCAGATGGTTCAAGCCAGATTAAATAAAGGTAACAATGTTACACCTGTTTCCCACCTATACACTCATCAGGAAAACCAATATATGTCAAAGGTTTACACAAAAGGTCATCATTAGCATGCAAGTTTGAATGAAGATAAACTTAAAGAATGAGTATGAAATAAAAGAATGGGAGCATTACAAGCTGTATGATTAATTTAAACAGTAGTGAAAACAAGATGGAAACATACTGACTAAGGTATAAAAAGTCTTGTTCAGATCCAAGGCTACACATTAAATTTTGTAAAAATGTTGTTGACAACCCTCCCCTCTTATGTTTATATTTTTTTGGAATATGGAATACTAATTATCAGGTTGCACTTAATATAACAATAAATGTTTTATTCAATCAATTTCCTTTATCATATATTTTTTTTTACAATTCTCAATTCAAAGATTAATTAAGAAGGCATCAATTACAAGCAAGCTTTAAGCTTTGATGCCCTACAAAGAAAGAACAATAATAACTACAAAATAAATATAAAAAGATAGTAATAGAAGACGATTCATTTATAAATCAAGATTCTTAAATGATAATATGACAAATACAATGGAAAAAGAAAGAAATGAACAAGGTTTAAAGAATAAATACAAAGTACTCTATCTTTTAGCTTTGTATCCAGATTTTCAATACATTTCTATCACAATTTATATTCATTTAAAATTTAACTGTTTTTTATGTTTGTGAACAGCTGTAAAAACCTAAATTTCTTGTTAAAGAATTGCTAAATTTGGATGTTTTTAATGATTTTTTTGGCATAAATGCAGGTATAGTACTGTATTAATAGCACTATCATCATAACACAATTATTAATAAAACTATGAAATAATTAGACCTTGCTACCTGTATGCAGTTTACACTAAATATGCATTGTTAAAAGCTAATGCCTAATATTGGCCAGGATAGATTTTATTAGGCAAGGAATATGCTTATAGCTGAGTCAGTATGGTGTTTGCAAATGGCAGATACCTTTTAAAAATGTAAAAGAAAAACAAACAAATGTGCACACATCATAAGTTAATTTAAATTTAGAATCAGACCTGGAAAAAAAGTGTGTGCTCTCGACAATGAAAATTTTCTTTATAAAATGCCTCCAGCACAAAATGTTATCTGTACACTACATATATAGCCCAACAGTATAGATTTTAGAAATCCCCCCCCCACCAAAAAAAAGCTTCCAGGACATTCATGATGCCTACAACTGGCGGTCGCGCATTCATGCACTTTTTTCCAGCCCTGTTTAGAATGTTAATTAAAACAAAGTCAGACTCACAGAGATAAGGCCAATAATAATCAAACAATACAGACATGATTACATACATACAACCACAGTAAAAACAATACCCTCTCCGAAAAGTATATTATGGGGAGGAACATAATGAGAGACAGATAACAAAATCGTTGACAAACAATTTCCAACCTTCCCAGGTGAAGTCATCCATTGAGGAGTAATACTCAGACGATCGTTTACGTGGAAGGGTTCGGTACGATGCCGGGTAGAGACCTGGCGTGTGTGATTGTGTACCAAGCCTACGGTAATCTGCACGGCCAGCAGATAGGTCAGTCACCAAGTGATGTCGTCATGCAGAGAGTTAAAATGGTTAGATATGTGATAGAAAAATTCACAGCAAAACACAAACAAAAACTATTTATTAACAAATTTTAGTAACTGTATAGTAAACATGTAAAAGAATGTGTATCATGACAATTGAACTGATTTAAAAAAAAAAAAAAATACTCCAAGTTTATATAAACAATGCGAGTGTAGCTCATGATCCAAAGGATGCATTAAAAATATATAGGCTCCGGTCATACTGCAGCCAAGACTGGCTTGACACTGTGCGGTTGAGAAATTTGTAGTCTGAACCAACGTGGGTTGACTCATGCCTGGCTTGAAATTGTTCTCAACCCTCACAGCTCAACACATATTCTTATAATTCCCACTTCAATACTATTTTACTATTAATCAAATTTAAAATGTAATCTAAATCTATCTTGGATAAGCCCTGACCATTCAAAACAGTACAAATTGTGAAAAATAAAAACAAATTTTTAATATAAATTCAAGAAAGTGTTTCAAGACCTTGATATTGTGACACTATACCTATACTGTACTGTAGCTTTCATTGTGTTTACATACCATCTAATTTGATTTATTTCACTGACATTATTCAATGTCAGACAGAGAAAGTGAGAAATTGCTTTATAACATTAGCTAATGGATAAACATGCGAGATGGACAGCAAATATTGTATAAGCAAAAATTATTAACACAATTAACAAATAAACAAAATTTAATGTTATTTTAATTGTACAAATCATAGAAAAAAAAAAACAAAGAATTTCATTGGCTGATCTAGTCATGTGATAATTCAAATAAAAAAACAAAAGTGCAAATTAAAAAGAAAAACTTTTAAGGCATGTGCAAAACATGTGATGGAAATGAAAAGTGAATGTGAAATAAGACCACAGTGCTTTTATATAATTTCACACAATTTTAATAAATCTTTGAGAAGCTGCTGAGAAATTCTTTAAATTCTGCATTAATATGAAATCTATTGGGAGGAGGGATGTATATTTCACACCTACCTTTATCTCTGCTTAATGAATAATCATCAATGGTCTGGTTCTTATGACTGTCTTTCTCTTCGGAGTAAACCTCTTCAATGTCATCGTCCGAATATGCATCTCCTTCATCCTCGGTCGCGCTGTCATCAACAAACTCCTGTACTTCCTCACCTCTGCGAGGATCATCATCATGGTAACGACCCGATGGGACCAATCTATCCTTGCTCTCATGGGCGTAATTATCAGCCTCCTTTTGTCGAATGTTACCATTCGGCCTTTGGTGGTATGATTGTGAACGGTTGTACTCCTGTTGATCAATCAGTCGGTGCGCACTACGGGGTTGTTCCTCATCCTCAAATGTGCGGTACCCATTGTCACTGTGATGCGACCTGTAGTGATCCATCTCACTTCGTGTCGGTTGAGAGAAATTTGCAAAGCCCCCATCTTCATCATCACTGATCCTAATTTCTTTATATTTGTTGACAGGTTCCCTGTGGGACACAAAAGATGTACAGCTACCTTTAGATTTATTTTAGTTCAAAAGCTCCTAAGAAAAGGGCAACACCCAACCCCATCCCCACCCACCCTCTCGGTGGCAGTGTTCAGTTGTGAAAGTATAACCTTGTCTGGACTAAAAAGTTTACGTTGCTTAAGCCCATCTGAACCAAAACCTTGAATTCGGCTCCATAGCTCTGTTTAATTTTATACCTTAATTAATTTTTAACTTTCGTCCATTGGTTACATTATTTACCAGCCAAATGCAAGAGGTAAGAAATCGTTTGGTCATGCACACTGAATTAGGCTTACAGGTATATCTATTATTATATTTAAAGTAATAAACCCTATCTAAACTAACTGCACATGGACAACACTTTCTATTTTTGCCTAATTATTGCAAACCGTCATAAAAAACAAGGCAGCACTATTGAAAAATACGAAGATTTCCAGCATCATGAGAAGCAAAAACAAGTGCATTTATTATTGTGAGGTGATGAAAATTTGTAGAAGATAACAATGATATGATTTAGTACTAACCCATATCCCAAGTCCATTTGCACCTTGGCTGCCCTAGAAAGTGCTTCAATCCACTGCTTCATGCCTTGCTCTGACTCAGCAGCAAATATTACTGTTCTCATATTTTGATGGGTACACTAAGGAATAAAAAAAGCCCAAATACTACATTATTATACCATTTAAATAATTTGGTATAAATTTATTCTCAAGCATCCCCTGCTCTATCATCTGCCATGAAAAACAGGAAATTTCAGAAAAAAACTAAAAGTTTTTCTATATTTATATTACGCCTGTTGATGCCTTGAAATCTCTAAAAATGATATATGTATATTATTTAATAATATAGGTAAATCTCTAAAAATAATATAAGTATATTTCTTCCTAATTATATAGATTTAAAGCATTTAACCATTTCATCACACACTGTTTACATTCACCAATGTAATTTTATTTTTCCTCTGTTTAGATGTTTTTGGCAAAACTATTTGCTAAATAAAAAAACAAAAATTTATTTAAATTTTTTTTCGCTCTCCTCTGACAATATAAAAAAAAATTTAGTTCGCAAGACAAAGTATTAAAAAACTCTCGGATTATGTTGATAAGATGCTAGGTTCCACTGTATTCCATGTTTTTACATATTCTTCTTCTTTCAATATACACTTTATTTACCAAGGTCCTGACACTCATAATTAAATTGATTTTTAAACCATGTGTCATTGAAGAATAGTCTTTGAGTCTGTATAGTACTTTTGTCGGCTTGCTTTCAACTGTGACACATTAGCATGAATGATCAAACACACTACTGTACATTCAAATTAAATTAAAGCAGTTCCATCACAAATTGACGTCATTTATACTAATTTCACACTAATATTCCATATTAATAATAATAACAATGATGACACCTACTGAAGGTCAAGACCACTCCCCCTTTTAATATTATGAGCTAAATGTGAGGTCTCACCACAAAATGATTCTCATGGTTAAAAAATAAAAAATCGAGTATATATTATATTTTGGTAGATCACATTACATTACAAACCATGTTTTGACAAAATCGGCCTCAAAGATACAAATAATAGGACTAGAATTACAGAATATGTACAGAGAACAATGTTTTAATAAGAAATTCACTAAAAGAGTATGCAATCATAAAATATCAATACAATTTCCCCAACGATGCATCTCACTTCGTGGTGAGAATTTACAAATGATGATCATAATAATAATAAGTGATGATAAAAAAAAGCGTTATTAAACGCCTTCGTAATCTTCTGACATTTAATAAATTGATATTAAATTTTCACCTTGAATGCGTATTTCTTGTTCGCCTTGTCTGCATAATCTACTGATCTGATGTCATAGCTGGGCAGTACTATAGATCCTTGCATATTCACATCATTAGGGCCTAAAAGAGAAGAAAATAAAACCAACACAATCAATTAAAATCTAACTTTTGAAAGTTCCACATTACCAGGGTTATTTCATTTTCCTTCCCATACATAGCTAGATAGATAGATAGATAGAAATATTACCTTTTTATATACTGTATAAAGAAAATTAATTAACAATAAGAAATTATAAGAAAAATTATGCACAACTAGCAAATTTACATCAGATTTTTGAAGATTGCAAAGTAAGTATGTATGTTTTCTTTTTTTGTTTTGGGGGGGGGGGGTGGTGCCTCCTCATATGTGCTGTTACATACTAAGGTAAATAGCCTGGCATATGTTTGAATCTAATACTATATTAGGGTATTTAAATGTTTATTTATACAGTACAACATCATTATGTGGCAAAGACAAGCCAAACCAGTCACTTGTTGCAAAAATTGACTTTTAAATCTAACTTTTTAAAGTTTCACATTACCAGGGATCTTTTCACTTTCCTTCCCATACATAGCTAGATAGATAAATAGATAGAAGTATTACTTTTTTATATACTGTATAAAGAAAATTAGTTAACATTAAGAAATTATAAGAAAAATTATGCACAACTAGCAAATTTACATTAGATTTTTTGAAGATTGCAGAGTAAGTATGTATGTTTTCTTTTTTTTTTTGGGGGTGCCTCCTCATATGTGCTGTTACATACTAAGGTAAACAGCCTGGCATATGTTTGAATCTAATACTATATTAGGGTATTTAAATGTTTATTTATACAGTACAACATCATTATGTGGCAAAGACAAGCCAAACCAGTCACTTGTTGCAAAAATTGACTTTTAAAAAATAATACTGTGTTACACATTTATGAGATGCATAAAATGATAAAAGAATAATTTAAATCTGATATTTCATTATGAAGTTACAAGCGTTTAAATATACCTGTACAGCTGTTTAGTTTCCAATTTTATGATTTTGGACATTTCTCAGCCAGAAACCATCACCGAATTGTTAAAAATTGTTGTTTTAACATTGAAATTGGGTAAAATAACAGCATACTGTATTATAATAATTTATAGATAAATGTTAGTTTAATGCAATAATATAGATTTTAAAAATGTTGACATTCCAGCATGTTTTGGCCATTATCTTTGAAACATGATTTGCGATGCCAATGAGTGACTGGTTTGGCTTGTCTTTGCCACATATACAGTAGTCCAATCACTCCATTCCCAAAATATGAATATTATTCATAGACAGTGACATTAGTTGATCACATGTCACGTTTGGAATACATAAACTCCTGTTAATGAAGCAACTGCGATGGAATCACATGATCAGCACACAATAAGCTAATTATACTGCATATTACGGTCTCATACTGTACACAAACTCATTAGTTATCTGCTGTCAGAAAGGAAGCTTACCAAGTACACTGGGTTATCACCATATTCAATTTGCTTTACACATAACCTAATGGACACCTTCTGAATCAAAAAAGTGTCCCCAGGGGTAAACCCTCAATGGGGTTGGTCTTACAGTAGTGTTAAAAGATATGTGAGGTCTCACCACAAAATAAGTCCCATGGTTAGAAAATCAAAAATTCAGTTTATGTTATAATGTTGGTAGATCACATTATAAGCTTTAATTTGGTCTTTGAATGGCTTCTCTACGATAAATACTGTAGATCCAGAGATGTGAGCATTTAAAGTTTAGGTGTATGAGAATCACGTTTGGAGAAAATTGGCCTCAAAGATACTAACCTGTTCAAATTATAGGAATAGAATTACAGAATATGTGCAGATTTTTACTTATTTACTTAAAACATTACTTAAAATTTACTTAAAAAGTATACAATCATAAAATAGATCAAGTTATTGGTGGACGACGAGAGTTGCTGGAACCGGGTTAGCGGGTAGCACAGACATGAAGGGACCCT